GCCTATTTTAGCAGATGGCAGAGCAATCCCTACAGCCGAAAATGAAACCCTAGAGCGATCAAGTAAAGGTGAGACCTTGAAACGATGAAGGCAAGGCAGACCTCAGTGTCGTCGGGCAGATGAAACCCTGAAGCCAGGAAGACACAGCAAACCCTAAAGTCGACCCCGAGCAAACGCTACTGTCGTCCCCAAGATGAAGCCCTAAAGCCGTCCCGAAGATGAGACGCTAAAACGAGGTAGCATCCTTTCGAGTGACTCCTGGCAGTGTGCATGTGAGTGTTGTGTTATGCAGGCTGAAAGGTGCACAAAATTGCGGTGCCAGCAGATATTTGCTCGGGGGGCGTGTTATAAGGAAGAGCGCGATCCTCGAGAAGTGTCATTTGCATTTTGGGCATTTCGAGGACCTTCTGGAGCAAGAAGGATTTAGGCAAAACTTTGTGTGGGGGAGGATTTGACACTTATTAGCCTGGATGGGCAGCCGAGTAGTGCAGAAACCCATCAAAGATAAAATCATTGGCATTGGTATAGCGCAACGAGGCCCTGTTCTGGAAGATATTCCTCTATAGTATGTGTTGGACATGCTTCCAACACCAAATACCCAGAAGTAGTAGGATGAAGAGGCCGATACTCGAAAATCGCAGCAAAGCAACAATCATCTCATATGTATTGCCGAAAGAGGCAGTTCACCCCTATGAGACCCCGGAATATTGGGAAAGCCATGGAAAGCCTATAGGATAGATACGAAACGCTTTGAAAACCTTGGACGGCGCCAGTGGACAGCATCAGACGTGTTATGAAACCTGAGATCCTAAAGGCCTTGCGCCCTCTGGCCAAGCAAAATACATGTTCGGCCGCACATCGCCAAGAATGCAGGTTTCGGGTGTTGTGGGGTCGAGGTATTTGTAGACAGTGCATAAAGAGCCCTGGGCAGCTAGAATACGGCCTCTAGTAGATACATAATATGTCAACACGGATGTTATTAGGCCCCCCACCCCCCACCCCACACTTCTGAAGCAACCTTCGAAGCAACCTGTCACCAACTCGCAGAAGAACTCCCGACGCAGCGCTTCCTACAATTAAGCTAGCAGCTAGAACCCGAGTCTTGAGCACGTCCCAAGCCTGAAACCTGCAAACTCTCCGAAGGAGGATGTTACCTAAAACGAGCAAACCCAAGATAACCCTAAAGTTGTCCCGAAGATGTAACCGCGGCGAGGAAAGCAATGCAAAGCCTGAAGCCGTCCCCAAAGTGAAGCCCTCGAGCGACGAAGGCAGAGCAAACCCTAAAATCGTCCCCCGATGAAACCCTAAAGCTGGGCAGGCAGAGTAAACCCTAAAGTCAATCCAAAGATGAAGCTCTAAAATCGTACCCAAGACGGGGCCTTCTAACGAAGAAGGCAGAGCAAAGCCCTAAAATTCGTTCCAAAACTCAGACCCTCAAGCGAGGAAGGCAGAGCCCTACCTTCGTCCTCAACGCGAAACCTTAAAGCGGGGAAGGCAGAGCAAACCCTCAAGTCGTCCCCAAGATGAAGCTTTTTGCGAGGAAATCAGAGCAAACCCTGAAGTAAACGGTAAAAGGCGAAGCTCAACCCGGCAGTCCGGTCCAAGGAATCCTCGCGAGCGAAAAAATGCAGCGAACACAACAAAACAGATGGGAATGGACTGACCACGACAGGTGTCAGCTTGTTGACAGGCTACGCGTGGTGCATCTGGCTCACTGCACCACCAGAAGGAATTTAGCTGAAGGCTTCGGGGCTCGAGGTCTGCTCACAACGGGTTCCAAAAGCCTTGCGTGTACAAAGGCAGCTGCCGGAGAGCATCTCGGAGCGCAGGGTAGGAACGAATGAAAGTACCTTCACAAAAGTCTGCTGAGGCTCTCTTTGTCGACAATGCGACGATCTGGTCCAATCTCATCTCAGCCATTGGGCGCACCATGGTGATAGACAACCCGCTGCATCCACGCACAGTACACCTTCAAGTCTTCGAGCTTCACAATGTCCAGACGGTTACGAACATTGTCGTGCATATCAAGAACTTGACAACTTGACTTTGTCAAACCATGGTCGTGCCTGACCCTCCATTGGTTTCTCCATCAGCCGCTTGGCCTCAAAGCAGAAGTGTATCTGTTCAGCTGAAGCACTGAAGGCAAAGCCTTCCACGAGCTTCGAATGCACCGGGTTCGGAACGCATTCTTGCATCAGGTCGTAGGCTTCAGTGCTCGAAAGTTCCGAGACCGATGTGTCCTTGCAAAACCACGCAAGTTCCGAACAACACTCTGGCAGATACTGGATAACCTGCTGCAGGTTGTGTTGGCTCGCAGGACTGCACCGACACGGAATACCCCCCGCCCCAAACATGCCAGTTTGCCCTTCTTCATTTCTCTTGAAAATTGCGGGCGCTCGAAGGAGTATTCATCCCTGCAGGTCCAACCCTAGCCCGGACACACAGCCATCCCTGGCCATGGTAAATACTGAGCCGGTCATACTAAAGCGTTAAGCCCTTCAACTCCAAGTGGTTAGATGCGCTTGGTACACAGCAGGTTGGAGGAGCAACATCTAGCCGTTCTGGGACTACTTGCTATCGGAGAATCCGGACAGTGGGCACCAGACTGTACCCAGTGCAGTCAAAACAGAACCAGGTGTCCATCAGGTCTCGATCTTTGAGCACCAGCGTCTTGTCAAGCGTGCTGCTATCCTGCCGACAAAACAAACGGGACCATGCCCCTGCTGTCCAGTCACATGCCGTCTACAACAGGAACAGCGTGGTCACGAGGCACCCCGACCTGAGGGAGACTATTGAGCGTACTTCCGTATCCCAAAAACGTTCTTATTCGTGCTCCCACCACAATGCCGTGCATGTTGTTTGGGTGCTACTAGTGTTTTGTTGCGGGTGTCAATCGTGCTCCCACCAGGGTCTGGCGCACTTTCTGGAGTCATGAGTTTGTCTTAGAAGCTCAAAGGTGCTCCCGGCACTTGGGCATGGAGGGGCTTGGACTGCTATGTACTGTTTCACCGTTTGGGCTTTTGCTGGCACATGCTGGCACAATGACTACACCTTTGCTATTGCTGACTGGCCTTCGATCTCAGTCCCTGCCGCAGAACTGGAGCCAGAGAGAGATTACTGCCTGATGTCAGCAAGACGCAACACACGTGACATGTTCGCCGAAATTCGTCCAGAGCCTGCAGTCTCCGGACGACTTCCAGGAACAGCCCTCAGACAGAAATCGGGAGATATCGATGACAGACCACAGAGCTGTTTCCTGGGCTCGTGCACTTTTCGACGCTTCCCAGTATCCTGGCATCAGCTCCGAAGGCAGCCGATGCTGAAGCGACTTGAGGTGTCTCGAACGCACGTTCGACCCACGGCCGAGCTGACAGGTGGAGGAAAAGGACGAGTGCAGCACGTCAATTTACCGAGAAAGAGCATGTGTCTTCCGGCAAAGTCGTTGATTCGTAGACTCGTCCAAGAGTCCAAGGTTTGCCGCACCTCCACGGCCTGCTGCTCGGCTGTCGTTCTCTTCCTTAAAAGCGGGAACCTGTGCTCTCCGTTTTTGCAGCGTGTTGAAGCTTGCTGAGGCGCAGGCTGAGGAGCGGTTTCTGCTGGACCAAGTACAATTGCAGCAGCCCGTTGTTTAGCCTAGCTCTCGCACGATAAAGGCTTCCACATGCACGCAGCACTCTGAGCCCGCCACTGGCACTGATTTGGCTGCATCCTTGTTCGACAGGTTCGAACGCTAGCTTGGTCCGCGGTGATGCAAGCTTAAGCGAACCAAGAAGTCAAAGCCCCTTTCAACACGCGATGTAGATTGCTGGAAAATATCACTGTAGCCGCCATAGCCTGTGCCTTGCTCGTCTTCTCTGCACCATGTGCACTTTCTTCCAGTGTCCAAACGGTGGCTGGCAGAGGCGTCCATTTTTCGAAGACACTGAAAGCCAAGAGGAAACAGAGCAGAAAGGGTCCACGACAAAGGGCATTTTCATGTTTTGATTGATGCGGCTTCCATCCCATCCTTTGCTTTGTTGAGGCAAGAAGAAAAATCACCTTAGTTGCAGCTCTGTCACCGTCTGTTGCCTTCTGCAATCTTCTGCTCAGTTTAATCTTCCCTCCCCGGAATACACAGTGCTTCCGTCTTTGGATTCCGTTTTCCGTCACCTCAGAGTCGACTCTATGAGGCTACTGGCTGTTCTACACGCAACACTTTTCTCAGAGCTCGCCCCGCGACGTGCTGACATCCGAAAGAAACTTCTGCGGGTTTATGTTTAGCACGCACTTCCCTAGAATCTAGAACCGATGTAGAACAAAGTCTCTGAGAACCACGCATCTCCCCGAGGCCCCGCAGCTGCCAGAGCTTCCTGCAGATTCACAGAAAGAAGTGGCCAAAGCTCAAACTCTTACGTGCTCTGAGGGCCCTGGCCACCACTGCAGCACCTTTCTTGGTCTTTGGCGGGGTCACCTGCGCCAAGCATTGCGTCCTTATTGGAGACCTTGCCCAAAGCAGAACAGACCTGAAACCGAAACCGCTACTGCAGTTGCTTGCAATGTCAGCTTCAAAATCAACCTCTACATGTGTCTTAGGATCCGACACGGTATATACAAACTCTTTGGGTTGTGGTATATGTTTTTATACTATACCACTAAATGCATATGTCATATCACCTTATATTTTCCCTCTACTTCTTGACGTAGCATGTGGAACCACGGGATAAGGCTTTTTTGTTGTGCCCGCCGACCGCGAATCGCCGGCCGTTAGTACTCTTGTTGCGCCTAAGCTGTGCCCCGAGCGGTCTGTCAACCCACCGAGATTTCGCAGTAGTTCGCATGCCGTGTCAGTATGGTCTGTCTGGGCTACCAGTTACGAAGAATCATTTGTGAGAAGAAACCCAGCAAACTTTTTGGCCGGCAAAGGTCTCTGGAGCATCAGCAGGATCAGCACATGCCGTCTGGCCACCGGCAATTTCGGCGCAGCTCACCCGTGTTAGATATGCTGGCGCCCCCGGTTGATTCTACTGGTCTTTGTTTGTCAAAACTTCGTCGGCGACGTAAACCATGAAGGGAAACGAGATCGCCCATTCCATCGAGATGGCGAACAACCCAAACCTGGCGAAGCAGCTGTCCCACACACACCGGGCACACACACACACACACACATCACGTGCAATGCCGCGGGCACGGCAGATCCAGGGATGAGAATTCGGGATACTAAGCCGAACCTTGTGATGTGAAGCGCTCCGAAATGCTCGCCACCAGCATACGCAGCCGGGCCGAACAGTGCTCCCAGCACGGCACAGCCTGCCTTAAGAAAAGGCTGGTGCTCCCTGCTAGCTGCGCTGTAAGTGTCGTGTCTCAGCACCTTACAACATAGGGCTTGAAGACTGGCAGATACTCGGCCTCGAGAAGCAGGTTGCAGCGACAGCTGATCAACTCTATATGGCATGAGAAACAGCACATGTGATCTGACTTGTAGAGACTTTTCTTAGGTACTAGCTCGACAGTCTGCTAGACTTCCTCCAAGGTACCACGCAGCCGAAGTTCGCCCACAGAGCCACAAACCAGACCGGCAACACTCCAAGAGTAGGAGAATCAGAATCTGCAGGAAAGGACATTGTCCCGAAGGCCACCTCTACGGGAATGGTCCAAATCAAATGAGTTCGACACTCTGAGGCCCCTTGCCTGGATGGAATCCTCAGTGGCAATCCAACATGATTTTTTCTGTTCGGACACTGAGTTGCGGTACAGTGCTGACAGAAGTCCAGCACCAGGCCCATGAAGACGTACGATGCTATGACCTGAGGAACACCACTACTGGTACTAACAACACAGGCAGTGGCCAGGACTTTCTACCAACCTCTGCCATCCATCGCAAAACTGAATCATTAATCCGCTGCAAGATACGAAGAGAAGCTGAAGACGAGAATGGGATGTCACCAATGCAAGCATTGCCAACACGGCAACTGCAATTGGACCCTGCCACGGCTGCTTGGCTTCAGGACTGAGTGCGCAAGCGAACCTGAGCTTGCAGCATCGTTGTTCTGTTGTGGCTTCAGTCGGCCAAGTAAGTGCCAGGCCAGCACAGGTTGCATCCGACGCAGAGGCAGGTGGTGCGTGCCTACGATGGGTCGGAGCCCTGCCCGGCCAGACCCTGCACATCCCCTCGCTGTTCCCAAGAGCTCGTAGCCATGCCAAGGAGCTATTGCCATCAATGCGCCAACACCTGTCGGCAACAACCGCCACCTCCCCCCTCGCCTCCTGCACCGATGCAACGTTTCAAACGATCTTAACTGGGACACCGACCCTTTCTTTGCGCAACCAATGGTGACGAAATGCTGCTGCTCTGCATGGAGAAAAGCACGAAGTGCAACAAGCACAGAAGGCAGACTGATGACCGTGACTCAGCCCGATCGTGCTGTGCTGCTGTATGGTGTGGCTTCTTTCCTTCCTAGCTGCATCTCTCTTCGTGGCTCGAGCCGAGGCTGCTGACTGCCACTGTAACACGCAGGGCATGGAACACGGTTTGCAGACACGGACGTCGCAGACGCACACATTGGCAGACTTGGGCACCTGTGCGAAGGATGGTCTGGCAGCGGTGCCATGTGCCACCACCAGCATCAACCTCTCTGTTCGCCTTGTCGGGTGCCCCCCGTCCTATCGCCCGAAGACTATTGGAGTGTGCAGGGGCGCCACATGCTTTTCATGGCGAGCTGTGCACCTCAACGAAAACATGTGTTGCCGCGAAGTCAACGCAAGAAAGGGTCGCACCTCGAGCGCACAGGACTGTGCCTCCCAGCCTTCGCAGCGACGAATGGAGACGTAAGACGTTCCGAATATTCCGCAGGTCCCGGCTCGGTCTTCGAAACTGAGAAGGCCGGTGCAACCTCGGTCGCTCAACAAAATCTCAAAACATGTTCAAAGCGAACTAGGCTCATACCAAGCTACTGTTCGGACAAGCGCGTCCGATCCTGCCCACATGCCCGAGCTGAAGAACATGTGCATCCATTCCGCAATTTCGGTTGCAGCGTGGCGGCGTTATTGTAGGAGGAGGATGGTACAGGTTTCATCGGTGCAGGGCAGAGGATGCCGGTATCGGGCCGCGGCCCCAAGCGCTGGAAGCGGTCCGCACGACGGAGCAAATGATTAATGGCAAGTCCCAACCCATAGAAAATCATGAACGACGAAATCCAAATCCTTAGGGGAGATGACGGATTGGAAACACGGACTAGTGCAAAATCAAGGACACGACGGATAGCAACCTTTAACGAGAATGGATGAGAAAAGCTACACCCTGAAATGGCAAGCCGTAAGAGCCCTCAAAGAGGATGATTGATCCAAACCCCAATAGTGATGATTGGAAAAGGATTCGACCCGAAAAATGATTGATGGAAGAATCGAACAGACGATCTTCACAGGACATGATAGGTGGAATGATGATGGGTGGCAAACCCTGAATTCTTGCAAGCAGAAGATGAGTGGCAAACCCCAAATCCTGAAAGGAGATGATAGATGGTGTTGAACGGCAAGCCCTGAACCCTTGAAGGGCGAAATGAGTGGCAAACTGGCAAACCCCACATCCTGAAAGGAACGGCAATCCCTAAAGGGGGAAATGCGTGGCAAACTGGCAAACCCCAATCCTGAAATGAGATGATGGATTGCGAACCCTGGAGTTTAAGAGCACAGTGGAGGCTGACAAATTCCCTCAAGGGAGATGATGAATCGCAAGGTTTGAAACAAAACCACGATGGACAGCAATATGGTGGATGGATTTGACCCGAAAATGAAAGGATACATGGCAACCTCAATATCCCTGAAACGAAACACCGCGCCGCAAACCCAAACCCAAACAAGGGTCGTGGGATGTCAAACCCTGATTAACCCTGTGGACCGGACCCTGAACCAAAAGTGGTAGATGACAAATTCAAAACACCAAAGCGATCGTGGACCCCCAAACCCTGACTGACCCCAAACGACTGGGTGGAAAGCTTCTTGTCGCTGAGGAGATGATGGATGGATGGCAAGCCCTGAACCCGAAACGGAGACACTGGATCGCAACCTGCAAGCCCTAAGCATTTTGAGGAGATGGTGGGAAAGGATGTGATGGGTGGGGCGAAACATTCCAACGCAACCGAGATGTAATGGATGGCTATCCCTCGAATTTGAAAGACGACGACAGACGTCAAACCCTAAACCTCCCCGAACTTGGCGCTTGCCAATATGATGAAAGGCAAACCCTCAACCCAGAAGTGAGCTTACAAATGGCGAACAGCACCACGCCCTAAATAAAGATGACGGATGGCAAATGTACACCTGAAACAGGACATGATGAATGGCAAACCCTAAACCTTACAAGTAAGGAGGAGACGACGGAAGGCAAACCGTAGACCCTGAGAAGACATACCGACATTCAAAACAAATGCCGGATGGCAAACCTGAAGCCCAGAAAAACATGATGAACGGCCGATCCTAAGCCCTACAGCGAGACGGTGGATGGCACGAATTTCAAATCTAACAACCGTCATGGTTCCCTTCCAAAAAGGACCGCACGGATAGCAAAATCAAAGGGGCGATGATGGCTGGCGGATCAGAAAATCAAATTCCGGCTCCATGAAGGAATCCCTCACTGGTCAATGAATCCCAAAAACCCTTCACCGTTAGAGGAGACAGCCAATCAAACCCAGGATGTGGGATCAAAGCGTTGCCCTGTGGCTGCAATCCTGCCTGTTTCGAATGTCCAGCATGCAACGATTGAAGGTCCGTGGCCGACTACCAGCAGCCGCCCGCCTGGGGAAGCAACGGTGCAGCCCCGTATCACGGCGCCAGACCACTTCGCTGCAAGACAAAAACACCCGCACATCGCCAGCGCCTGCATCTCTCTCCTTTGCCAAGCGAGCTTCTTTGACTCGTTCGTGGCAAGTAAGAACCTGCACACAGATTCACGAAATGCTGCAAAGCACCCTCAAACGTTGCTTATGCACCCACCCTCGTTGAACTCGTGGGCGTCCTCTTGCCGTGTGTGACTCCGCCTGCTGATGTATTCATCACGACGACACCGAAGGCAGGCTTGCAAGCGACCAGCAGATCGTGGGAAATTTTCGAGCACGATCGAGCCTTGATTGTCCGGGCCTGCATCGAAAAAGTCCACCTTTTCACCAAAAGGGCTCCGAAACTGGCTCGCGGCTCACGCTGATTGAGCCTGCATAGCGCCGTCCGAAGCCAACGCCATCAGGCGGCCCTCGAAGCAGCAAAGATCCACATGGGCAGCGCCGCCCGCTGGGGCTTTCAAGCACTTGCTTGCCTGCAACGAGAGCCAACACGATCCAAACATTCTCGGGCTTGCTTAGCTTGCGTTTTCGCCTTGTGAAGGTTGGACAAGCTTGCACCAGCATCTGGGAGCCGCCACAGCTTTAGAGGAGCCCCGATGGAAGAGCTCAGAAGCCATTCTGACGCTGAACCGGATAGTGCCAAGCCGGAAACTGAAGTCCTTAGGGCAGACTGCTTGACATCTTCATGCAACCCATGTTGACCACATCACGATCAACAAATAACCATGGCTATCCACCAAAAGCAACCACAGTTACAACCACCACAACAGCAATTGCAATTGAAACTGCAATTGCAACAGCAACTGCAACTGAAACTGCACCAGCAACACCAACAGTAACAGTGGCATTTCTTTTGAACGCTGAACGAGGGGGCTCTGCCGTTGCAAACGAGTCAGTCAAACTCGGAAGGTGCCGTATGTCAGTGCCTCCCCTAGTTTCAAATCTGCCGACATCTTCACAAAAGGAATAAAATTGCCTCTGACGATGGAAAATACTGAGGCAGGGGTACATCGAAGTACGGGTACATACTGTGCAACGCAGTGGCATCTCTCGGACACTTGTTTCCAAGAGACAACACTTCTTATTATGCCACCAGTGTACAAGTCTTGCTCGAAATACCGGCACTTGGACGTGAAACACCACCGGATGCCTCTGCATGAATTGAGCGTTAGGATCACGGAACTTCTCCCGTCTTTGTTGTTGAAAGCGGAAGAGTTCAAGTACACCAGTACGCGTCCGGGACTGTCGTAGTCGGAATCCGTAGCACATGTTCCAGCGTTGTCTGCACGCTTCCTTTGCGAGGTTAGCAGCCAGATCAAAACCAGCAGAATCTGGCAGGGAAGCTGGACGCCACAAAGGTCGGCCAGAATGTCGCTCGGAAATACGAGCAATTCTGAACTTATCGTTGGCATCTTCTCAGTAGCCTTGTCATGCCGGCATGGCTCAAGTACCACAGACAACTGAGAAAATCGTGGGCGAACTCCTGGATCACTCCGGGCCATGAACTGCTCCGTCACCTCCTTCCACTCGATCTGCGAAGTCAGATCGTTGCTTGCGGTGGGTGAACTCCGTCAGGGCAGACCTCTGACAGCCCCAGACTTCATTCTGACGAAAAACTTGGGAGCGCTGTCTGTCCAGCGGATCTGACAGTTCACAGTGTCCCCGGCCAGACAACCGCTCACCAGCAGCTGACGTGAGCCCGATCAAACAGTTTCTTCGGCATACGGAGGTGGCGCGTTGTTTCCGTCTCCATCATCGTACACTCGCAGGCGAACCTTCTGACGTGAATGGTGGTCATGTCCATAGAACGCATCACCGCCGACTAGTCCATGCTGTGCAGCCGATTCAAGCATGGCATTCCACGCGAAATCAGAATTGCAAGTAACAAACGTGCACGGCAAGAATAACAAACGTGCACGGCAAGAATAACAAACGTGCACGGCAAGAAAAAGCCTGCACGTAGGCCTCGACATTCCTCGACGGCTGGATGCTGCTCTGCGAAGAAACGGCCTCCCCACGCAAAGGCTGCATCGGACTTCAAAAACCGAAGAAAGCCTCACGGGCAGCACCAAGGCAAAACTGCTGTCCTGACCCATCCGAAGCAAACATAGGCTGCTTCACGTGGTCCCCGGGCCGTGGCCCATTTCGGGGAGTGGCTGCCGCAAGATGTCGGACCAGTGACCCACTGATCCACATGTCGGCGTTTGTGAGCAGCTTAGGTTCTGGAGTTAGCTCTCAAGTCTCAAGTGATTGCCAGAACCAGGAGGCTTCGCGGCGCCAAAGCTGTGCACGTTCGGCATAGTTGTAGTAACCTGTAGTAACTTGAGGTCGCAGTAGCTCTCTTCCTGTTCGCCCCCTTGCACAACCTCTTCCGACAACATCGTCGACTCTGTCTCCAAACACCTTCCGGTTCGCCAGCCCCACTCTCTTAAAGTGGGTGGACCCACCATTCGAGACAATGACCCGTTGTTGTTCGTCGCGAAACATCCCTGCCGCTCAGATGCTCCGCATCGGTGCAGCTCCATCTTGTAGTCAACAAAATGACGCATCTCGGGAACTACTCCACAGACCGTCGTTGCGCTCACGGTGGCGGCCACAGCCGTCAACAAGGCTCTGCTGCTGTGCACAGCCTAGCACGCTGGAGGCACTACAACCTTTTTCCACACAACAGCCCACGGCGTTGTGTTTGATCCCCAAAAGCAACCCAGGCAGCACCGAAGCTCTCGCAAGAGTACTGCAGAACACACACATCAAACAGACTCCAGGACATAACTTGCAATGCTGCAACAATAACAACACCAGCGACAAAAGCATCCATCAGCAACAATGCTCTGAGAGCAGCTCTTCCCACTGGCAAGGGAGCTTCTCGTCACACCATCCATAAGTCCAATCTCCAGAATGTCCGGCAGTCCGGAGCATGCGGCAAAGACTGTCCCTCTCGTGGCAGAAGCTGCCAGAGCTGCAACGCTGCAGTCCGCGCCACTGGCCAGAGCATGAAACGCCTGGAGCAGCGAAATCAAAAGAACGCTTTTGGCATGACCGCCGTCTGACCATTCCCACCCCCACGGCCGCCTGAGCAGGACGGCCGAGTAACTCCGCGGAGCTTGCGTCCCAAGCCTGGACCCGGCCACTTGCGCAGCCCAGCACCAGGCACCCCTGAGAGCAACGAAAGGTCAAAGAGACGATGAAAAGCAGCGAAGCTTGGTCACGCGAAGCTCCTGCCTGCAAATTTTGAGGGCAGGCCCAACAAGCTGCTGTGTACGTCTCGTTCTCATCACTGTGGTAGAGCTCGACGGCACCTTCCCCTGAAGGCTCACGCACCGTACAGCATTGGGTGCAATCTGGACCGGGGAGCCAAATGCAGGCGAAAGTCTTTCCCTCCAGAGCTTCCAGCGGTTGCCCGCGCGCACAAGGAGGCATCCTACCTCCTTCATACATACACAGCTGATGATTGCCCTTACGCATGTCAAGTGTTTAAGTCGTGCCCTGTCAGAGGATCCAAGATTCTGGAGGTCCTCCGGGGCAAACAGGCAAGCTCGCAAGCCAGACATTCAATCATGGACGGCATTCATAAGGCAGTGCTTTAATCTACCTATAAGTTCTGTTGCTTTCGCCATGGCTGACACTGCTTGCATCGTGGTCCAGCTGAAAACGTAAGGATGCCCAAGCCTAGATGCAGCTTACCCCATCCATGACCGCGGTACAGGGTTAGCTAAACTTGAAATGTGGAAGCGCTGTTCTGACAGCAGAAGCAGAGGTCTGAGACTCCGACTGAAGCTGCGAGTCAAGCATTCATCATCAAATCGCCACCACGCGTGCACATGCATGGCTGACATGACTACAGCTGCGGCTTTTTGCTCAATGCAGGCCATTGTGATCAAGCACCTCTGGCTCGGTGTCCTGTGCAAGCACCGCTGTTGTTCAAAGGACTGCCGAGAGCCCTAGATGGCCTGGCCTAGTCACCGAAGTTGAAGCCCTTCTTGCCACCTTTTCCTTTGCCCTTCTTCTGGCAAGAAGGCGGAAACTTCTACGAGTAGGCTCAAATATCGCACCACTGCTCACAGCATTTGCCTGGAATTTCGCTAGTGCTCCCGATCTCTTCTCTTCCTGCACTAGGATGCGACAAGCTTCCGCAAGGCTGGGCGATTCAAGCTCTGGTAAGCTGAAGATCGTCTCTGCGAAGACCCTCGCGCCCTGCTCGCCTTCGGGGCTGGCTCTGCGAGGGGCGGCTCTTGCACGGGCTCCTCCTGTAGATAGCCAAAGGATCGCTTACCCGTCTGAGCTGTGGCTCTCACATTGCCGCACAGGCCCCGTCCGAACCCTCATGCTGAAATCATGGGTCTCTAGTTTTGGACAAGACCATGCAGCTGCAGATCGCCGGTGTCGGCACCTCTCGCAATTCCTCTTCCGGCTGAAACTTGTACAAACGCTAGTCGACAGCCGGCGCCGTCGTCACCCACCGCCGCATTCCGCACCGACTACCGCCCTCTTTCTGAACCTTGACTCATCTCGCGTCCGAATTCAGCTCTCCAGGCCCCGCCTGTTCTTGCTCTCAGCACAGCTCGAATTGATCTGTGGCCATTTATGGACGGCGAAGGTCAATACGACAACACCCAACAGCTGATCGTGAGATGGAGAATGCTGCACGGTGTGAAGCTCTCCGGCATACTCGCACGCAGGCTGGAGAGCCCACTTCCGAAGACCTGCGGCACGGACGCGATGCTGTGCAGCAGGCTGACAGTAGCTCGCCTCTGGAGCTATCGGAGCTTCATCAATGTCTTCAACATTGAGCTCAATCTCCTGCCCAAGATCAGCAGGCTAGTCATGAGCATATGCTACAATAACCTTGTGTTTCCCGCAAGCACATGCTGACTGGCTCTAGTTTGCATCCTCCGCATTGCTGGCCATGGGGGCAGCAGGTCCAGACGGCGCAGCCTCTGGGGCAGCATCCTCATCCTCGTCATCGTCCTGAGTCAGCACACTCGGCCGGCGACGCCTCAACCACAGGCAGAATCATCTCACGCAGCCAAGCGACCAAATCCAGCTCGATCTCCTCTGGGTTGGCTTCTGTAGCCTTCCGCTCGGCAGCCAGCGCCTAGCAGCGTCCCCACTTGCTGCAGCGTAGTCGCGTAGTCATGGGCAGTTTTTGCAAAGGAGCCTTGCGCTCGGCTGCAGCTGCAGCAGCTGATCTTGCTTCGATTTCTCGCAAGGAAGAATCCTGCAGACCAACATCAAAGATGGCATCAGGTTGTCAAGAAGCACGGCGAAGCGCCTCGTAGTAACCCAAGCCTTTGATGCCAAGCTTGAAAATGAAGCCATCCCGTGGCCCCTGCAAAAACAAGAAGTGGCCCCTGTCGTCTACACCAACACAATAGCGAGTGCCCAAACTGCAGACAGCAATGTCTTCAACAGACTGTGCAAGCTTCGACCTCCTTGCTTCCACTATCCTTGGCCACTCCCTTCCACTAATCAACGGCAAGCGGACAGCGTCAAAAAGCGATCGCTTGCCAACGAGCCGTTGACCCGATCCGACAGACTTTTCATCAAAACCTTCAAGGCTTGACCCCTCGAACCTCGAAGTTTCCGAGTGCGCCGCATCGGGTCACCGTGAGGCACGTACTGTTCGACTCAAGTGGACAAACCAACCCTCCATCCAGAATCTAGGCCCGGGCTCGCAAAGGAGCAACACCCATAGCATCTAAAATGCTCTCCAGAAAGTCACAACCCGTCGTCTACTCGCGTTTGGTCAATCTCTCGGACACCTGCAGCAGCCGAGAAACAAGACACCGTCCCTGAATTCAACCCGACCGGCCATCATTGGCTTGTCAGCTCCGTGCCACATCGCATCTTCGCACTCACGAACATCACGTGTTCATAAACGGACCGTAACAGTGAACACGGCTACTGCGCGGACCAGCCCCGACTGAAGAACCTGTTTCGACGTGTTTGTGTTGTATGTCCAACAAACGAATCTGCTGATGCACAGCCTCGAAGCCTTCCGCAGGCTCGAAATTGCCCAGTAGCTCCTCAGAAAGCTTGTTTGAAACCGCAACCCTCACGTTGGGAGCAGTCAGTAACAGCAATGTGGGACATGAGCCATCGTCCTTCCGCGCCGTCTCAGCATCAGCTGTGACTCTTTGCCGCTTCGCATCAATGCCCAAAGCGCCGCCCTGCACTTCCACCAAGTCATTCTCGAATGCATTCTGCATGTATCTGCAAACACGAGTGTATCGGACGGTCAGCGCCTTTCGCTTTCTTTCCTCCTCAGTTTTCATTTCCTCTTCGGCTGCCTCAGAGGACAAAGTTCCTTAGGCTTTCTGGCGCAATGAGTGCACATAGTTGCCGAGCATGCCACTGCCATCGGATCGAGGACTTCACGCCCTTCAGCACCCAGGGTTTGCGATGATTGACAATGGGCATACTGGCAATAGAGCCGCGTCCTGTTTCGGCAGCAATATCGGTAGCATTGAAATGAACCTGCCATACCGGTGATTGCACAAGCGGCATGTAATTCCAGAACCGTTGTGCAGCACCAAGTGCCTGCTCACACCATCAAAAGGGCTTCAATCCAAACAGGCTCGCTCTTGCCCACGTACTGACACATTACCTGTACTGGCGCCTGAGAGAACATAGCTTGAACGCTGCGCTTGATTCGGAGCATGTCACGGAACCTAAGTCAGTCATGGATACCCATCATGCTGACTCTCACCAGCCCATACAGGTAGGCTTGGAAACACACGTGTCTTCATTTCCATGTTGAACTTCGAAACCTCGCCAAACTTTCCAGAACCTGATCAACATAAAAATGATGCAGCTCCAGGACTCAAGACAAATCTGCACAACGCTGAAGCCCAAAGTCTAAGCCATCAGCTCCTCTTCACGTCGCGGATCGCAGAATCTGCATCAGGTATTTGGCAGGGTCATAAAGCGCATGACTGCACAGCAACTTCTTGGGAGCAGGCTGGGACGCATGCACCTTGCTAAGACCAGGAGGGTTGGGGTTCTGTGAAACCGACGACAACAACTAGGGGGATGTGTTGCCACCATGCCACACGGTAGAATCAAGAGCCAAGATCAAATGTCAGACGACGTACGAAAAATATTCAGAGCCCGGTAACCTGCCTCCCGACCTGGCATCTCGACAGACTTCCAAACTCCAGGCCAATGCAGCTGAGGCATGGGCATAGATGGCGCGTGCTCTGTCCACCTAGCACAGAGGGTTCAGCACCAGATTTAGCCATTTTCACCGGTAGCAGGATGCTCAGACAGTGGCCTCACCAAGCATGGTTTCCATCTTAGCATATCGCAAGCAGGCATCCTTGATACGATCCTGAAGGACATACAGAAGCACCAGGGCTGAACATGCCTAAAACTGACTCCACATCACTGAAGACAAAATCCTGGTTAGTTTGCTCCAGCTTGGGCTTCAGAATGGTGTCCCACATTTATGTCTCCTTGGCTTTCTCCTGTATCTTGGTTTCTCATGACGATTTGACTCCATTGGCCCACAGGAAAGCATGCATTGCCACAGGCGGGAAAAGGGAATCTCTACACAGACCTTCTCCCTTCCTTCCTCCTTTCGATGCTTCCTTGCTTGCCTTGCTGCCCGGCCTTTTTTTCGTTATTCCTTCCTTCCCTCCTTCCTTGGCTTTTGTTCCTCGCTTTACTGAAACAGGAAAGTTTCGTGTGGTGGTGCAAAAAATATGAAGGTTTCAGAAAGGAAGGCCTGGGGCGAGCATACGCCTCAACTTGCTACATGTCGCGGTCCTGTGGCAGGGCCTCGATCGCTTGATCGTAAATCTCGCGCGTACGAGTCTGACCTTTTTCGGATGCCAAATGCCAGAAAGTGGTTCAAGCAGTCCCTTCGTCGGGACCGGACCAAACAACTCCGCCGTCTTTCGCAGCAAAATGCCGTACATCTCGAACATGTCCTAGGTGAGACTTCCTTCTGGCTCCACAGCCTCAGGCAATGCCAAACTGTCTGCGTGACCTTCTCCTCGACTGCTTTGGTTGCCCGATTGTAGATGGACAGAGCATGCCTGGCAGAAAATCATAAACAGAAAAGGAAAAAGATCGCGCATGATCCCAGGCCTCGCGAGACCGTGCTCCTCTTCAAGCTTGGCATAGAGCATGTGCAGCCTGCAACGGCTCTTTTCATTTCCGAACTTCTGTGACTCGTCGGCGACATGCGACGTACAGCAGCGGCCTCCTCGCAAATTTCGATGGCACCTTCTCCACTGCCTGCTCGAAGAGGTCCCTTGCCCGTTCCAGCCTGGACAAAGCGCTCGTGTTGACCGTGACAACTACTTCCACGTCTCGCAGAACTATGCGAGCTCGTGGCTTTCGCCCGCCATATCGCTCCACAAACTTCGACAAGTATGTAAGCCTTGCAAAGCTGCAAACACCGAAAAGGTGGCATGTAGTGCGGAGTTCATGTACTAGGTATTACAGACTCCTGTGTGCACCGAGAGAAACCGAAAAGCAAACGGCAAAAATTTAAGACAGGCCAGGCCACCAAATGTCACCAACATGAGGCCATGAGAAGACCTGAGCAAGCCGGCTCTAGCTCTGGGCAAATGCGAGACCTCCGTCTGCATCTGTCCGCCTTGATACCCCGCTCGTAGATTTTGAATGCATCTTCGAAGTATTTCCGGTCCTCCAAGATTGTATAGGCGCACACAGACCTGCAGCCGACACGAAAAGAAGTGGCACACGTCAGGGCGGTCCTCCAAAAATCGTGCATAGCTCAAAATCAAGGCAGGAGATGCCACCTTCCCATCTGAGAAGCGAATGCAAACACCGATGCTTACTTGTTTGACATGTTCTTTGCTTCCGGCCTCCGGGCCCTAGGCCCAACCCGTCCCCATCTGACTTGTGAGGGGAGACAATGAAGGCTCTGCTGGCAATGACGATGGCATCCATCCCTCTGCTCCGCGGCTGGATCCCGAGACACACACTCATTGCAGATCACTACGTCAATGTTACAACCAAAAGAGCTCTACTCCTTCCTTCCCCTCCATGTTTCTGACTGTCTTCTTTGCTTTCTCTCCCTCTCTTTGTCTTTCTGCAAGGCTTCAGAGGCGAGCAACTACCCCAGCACCAAAGCACAGCAAAGTTTTGCAGGTTTTACAATAACGAAGTCACTTTCCCCGAATCAAAGGCCTCCCACGTGCTCCAAACCCAAGGCCCGGTACATCTTGAAAAGCGTTACAAACTCCTCGTGCATCAATGGCGAATCACAAAAACAAGTCGGGGAACCTCCCTACACCCAAGGCCACCGCTCAGGCCGTGTTTTACGAACTTTCTGCACAAACATGCTACATGTTCTTTTCTGATCTTGCTTCTTCACCTCATCCTTCTCCTCTCCGTGTTTTTCGTTGTTTCTGTCTTTTATCCTCCTCTCACGCTCTCACACTCCCTCTTTCTTTCAACTGGGCTTCGGGGTCGCGGTGCGATTCTCAAGCCGAAGGACTCTCTCTCTCTCTGTCCCTCGCTCGCTCGCTCGCCCGAGGGAAAGGTCCGAAGACCCGGGCTCCTTGTTGGTGGAAGAAGGCTTTGGGGTGTTCAATGGTAGGGAATTTTTTCCCCCAACGGCAGGTGTGGCTGGCGGCGTGTGCCTGGCAGTGAACCGACCCTCCCCGTACTTCATCGCGCATCCCGGCCTCATCGCCGCGCTCTCTGAAGCAACTTCCTTAGTTCCTACGCCAGGCACATCCCCCACGTAAAAGCAGCGGCTTGCGTAAGAAGGTTCTCCGCCAAATCAGGAAGCAACACCAACACAAACAGTAAGATCACTCGTGCTGGCGGTTCCCCCACAAGCGAAAAGAGCTTTGCGCAAGTGAAGGGTGATTCAGGTTTCCCCAGTCAGAGCATGTACGAATTGGTACTAAAACCCTGTCAAAGTTGCAGGTAGTGCTTCCAAAGTGCAGTTTGCGTGTGGCGAGTTGCGCCCCCAACGGTAGTGGGTTGTGGCTCCGCGGCCCGTCCAATTAAGCTTGGCTTGTGCAAGCGAGTCTGGGTTAACCTCTCAACACTGAAAAGGTGTTTCCCCCCACAAGCACTTCACTACGGTACTCGAAAAACTTTTTGCTGCGCTCACTCAGTCTCACCACAGGACATAGTCACGCGTCGTCGCACCCCGTCTGTTCGCCATATGGTCTTGCACCATCTGTGCTTGCCAGCGCATGTTCGGCGTCAGCGTGACTCTGGGTTGCGGCTCCCCCGCTGGTGCAGTGGCTCCGTCTGTCGTCCCATCTCGTCGTCGTTTGCTTGGCTCCCCCTCTGGTTCACTGGGTCGTCTTTGCCCTGCATGCCGCGGTTCACCTTCCGGTTCGTTGGGTCGTTGTTGTCCAGCGTGTTTGTCAGATGGCCGTCCCCCCGGCCCCCATGGCCATTGTGGGTCTTCATCTTGGTCTCGGTCACATTCTGAGGGCCATTCTTCTGTGCCTTCGTCACTTCCCCAGTCTGGTGGCGTATCTTCCGAAGGGCAGGCTGCTCTCTCCTGGTTCTTCAGCTTGTCTGCCGACGGTCTGGAACAAGTGGCTGAAGCATTCGCCCCCCTTGCTTCCTCCTTCTCCTTCTTCTTCTTGGCTCGCACTTCTTTGCATAACACCCACACTTTTTTAAGCATGGTGTTCACCTGGTAAGGAAACTTCATGGCATAGGCGCGGTTGTCGTCGGCCACCCCCGGTAGCCATTTGTCCACTATGCGGACTACATGCCGACGCGGTGCCTCTCCGACAGCCTTTGTAAGTATGCTTCATAGGTGGCTGTCTCCCCCGGGTCCAAGGGTTCCCCCGTTGCAGGCCACGTAGCCTCCCCCGTCAAGGGTTTGCACTTGCTTGCTTATCCAGTGATCCAGTGCGTCCGGCTCGAACAGGAGGTGGAGTCCTTCTTGGGTGCAGAAGGCTGTTTTCTCCCCCATGAAAACATCCCCCGCCCTAGCTGCGGGAGGCGTTGCTGCAGGGCCTCCCCCACTCTGACATTCCGCCTCTCCTGGACCCCGTGTAGTCTGCATTGTGGGTCCTCCCGAATATGCACTTTGCGAAAACCACTTTGGCATATTCCCCCAGCGTAGCGGCAAATCCTGCAAATTCTCATTACGTACTGCGAGGAGTGCGATCTTGTCCTTCCTGCCACTATCACGGACTCTGAGTCGATGGTGTCCCCGGTGTCCCCAACCCAAACGGTGCTAAAGCTCAGGCGAAGCTCCCCCTTAGCGGAGTCGTCGAGGCCGACGGTGAAGGAGATCGCCGCCTTCGGGTCCACAAGGTCGTTGGTCGATGTCTTGCAAGCACTAGGTCGCCTTCACGGCTGTCTCTCTCTCTCAGTCGCGCAGAGCAAGTCCACAAGTGAGACTACTCGTCAGCAGCCCTTTCAGCTGGTTAACGTAAAACTCCTAACTGAGCCCAGGATTTACGGTTTTGAGCTAGCGGCTGTAGGGTCCTCCAAAGGTCAATGTTACCAAAATATCTGGAATGGGCAGCAGCCACCTCTCTCTCCGTGGGATGGTGATAGATATCGTGGTGTATTTGGTGGGGGCGGGGGATGGGGGAATTCGTGGCAAGTATCTGGTAGCGTTAAAACGCCTGCGTCATGGTTAGTTCGGCCCAATGTATTCGAGGGTGGCCAGGTCTTTTTCTATGGAGGCGTCTGTAGGCGTGTGCTGTTTGATATGTGGAAATATGTTCGATGGAGTTTTCGTGTCGGAGAATATGTCCGAGATAAGAAATCCGGGAAGAAATGATATGCTGCGAGGGCGATAAAAGTCTAGGGGCGTATTCATAAGCAAGCTGGGCTAAATATTCATTGGAGCATTCTGCCTCCGATGGTTCTAATACCTTATGATAAAAGGAGCTTTTAATGTTGAAGATTTGTCTAAGGACCTGGTAGTGTAGCTTGTTCAATTTTGTGAGGTCGGGGTGTAGATATACATCTGTGATTCCGAGCCATACAGAAGGATGGCCAACACAATCTGGGAATGAACTAGCAGCTTTCGCTTAATGGCGATGGAAGGGTGTTTAAAAAAGTCATGTAAACATTTGGCCGCGTGTGAGGCCTGTGCATAGCGCTTTTTGGTGTCCGCTTTGGCGGCTGAATTATAGGTGAGGACGGCTCCTAGGTAGTCGGCGTGGGGTTTTGGATCAATCCGGAGTTCTTGGGGGAGGTTTGGGTTGCTGCGCATGCAGCAGAAATCGCACTGGCAGGGGTGCGCTGTGGTATCAGTGAGGTAAATGGGTAAATCAGTGTTGATACAGAGAAGCTGGCACTTCTCATGGTTCAAGGACATGCCTCTTTTATAAGAGTGGGCCTGTAGCGTATGTAGAAAGCGATGTAGGGACAATCGCGTACGAGATAATAGGACCGTGTCGTCAGCATATTCAATGTCTGTGAGACGAAAATCGGTGGTGAGTACCGAGGGTCGAGGACCATATTCTGTCACGTATGCTGCATAGGTATCGTGGAACAGTACCGATAGGGTAATGACAAATAAATACGGCGATAAAGGGCATCCCTGTCGGATGCCCTGCGCGAATGCTTGGGAGCGGGACGTATATCCCGCGTCTTTCACCCTAAACTGACATTCTTCATAAATGGATAAAACTGGATCGATAAATGTAGTAGGAAGACCTACGCGATACAGCGCATTGCGCAGCGCTGCGTGAGAGACCGAATCAAAAGCCTGTGACCAATCCAGGAATAAAGCGTAAAAGGATTCTTGATGCCTTTCATGTAATTCCAGCAATCTGCGAAGTACAAATAAGGGCGTAGAAGTAGATTTGCCGGTTCTGAAACCGAACTGGACGGGCGAAATGCGGTCATCGATGGCCGCCTTTATTTAGTCTGTCGTGGAGAAGACAAGCGTATAGCTTGTAAACGGTGTTAATCAAGGAGATAGGTCGGTAGCTGGTAGGAAGAGTCCGGTCCTTCTTTTTACCCTTAAAAATCATTACTATGTCCGCCACCTTCCAGGATTTCGGCGAAATAGCCTGCGCAAAAGTTTTGTTGAAGTGCGCTAATAGCGCCACATGAACCGATCTAGGAGCAAATTTCCAGATTTCTGCCGGTAGTTGATCAGGTCCTGGGGCTTTGCGATTCTTGAGGCGCGCTAGCGCCCTTAATAGTTCGGGCTCCGTGAATGGACTAGTGTCAATAGGCGCAGGGGGGAAAATGGGGTCTGGTGGGAGTTCAGGGAGAGTGCGGTGGTTCCAGACTTTGGAGGCTAAGTGGCTGGCCAGGACGTCGGGTTTGGCGGCTTTAGTAGACATCTGTCCGTTAGGTTTGCGGATACCCTGCGTTCTTGGTGTATAATCCTTGCGCAAGTATTTAAGGGTGGTCCATTGCTTGGAAGGGGGTCCTTTAGAGTCTTGGAGTAAATTATCGCAAAGATGCTGTTTTTTGTCCTTGCGGGCGCGTCGCTTGACTGCTTTTCGGAGTTTTTGTAGAGATTCATGGTCCTCTGGGGGCGTCGAGGAAATGCGATCAATAAGTCTTTTGGTAGGCTCCGATAAATATTATTTTTTGTAAGTGCGTTCCTGGACAGTACGAGGCGCTATTTGAAGCGCAGCTTCCTGGAGTGCGGTTGCTTGTTCTTCTATCGTGAGTTTCTCAAAAAGTGGTGGGGCGGAAATGCGTAATGTGTCGCTCAATGGATTGCGAATAGGATAAGCGTGGCGCCCGATCGTGGAAAAGGAGGTTACTCCCTTCTTGGCTAGGGTGTCTGCGCACTCGTTTCCTTCATGGCCCGAGTGTCCTTTGATTTTTAATAGCGATATTGTAATGTAGGCGAGAAGGTGGTCGAGGAGAATGCGCATTTTAGTTAAGAGGTGCAAATGTTGGGTAGGTATAGAAAGACCGTGGAGAAAGTCGTAAGCAAGCTGGGAATCGGTATATATGTTAAGTGCTGTGATGGAAAGATGATTTTTGTGTCTTCCGACGTAGTCCAGGGCTTCCAAGAGGGCTTGAAGCTCAGCGGTATTGTTAGATCCAACTACTCGGAGGTCCAAATTGTGGCCCACTGGGCCCCATGAGTCCGTCCAGGTATTTTGTCGGTAAATTGTGAAGCCCCAGCCGGCCGGGTTGCCGACTCTAATATTATATTGGTCAGGGCAAGCCCCGTCTGTATAAATGCATGGTGCCCCCGGTAGGGGGGTGGTGCCTAAGATGTGGACTGGTTGCTGCGTGATTTGCGCAAATGCTTCTGCGAATTCCCGCTTAAAACTGAGCTGGTCTTCTTTGGTTCGTGGTGGCGTAATTTTAGGCGGTGGAGGTTTGGGTGGTTTCTGGAATCTGTCAAAGGTAATCGTAAAAGAAAGGGGGTAATGGCGGTGAAACCACGGTAATTTCCAATTGGGCCTGGTGGCCGCGGCTTTGACATTGTGCAACGAAGTCATGGGTGCAAGCACGTGATCAAGGCATGAAAAGTCCGTGTTTTCAGGCTGTGTGGGAGACGCCTCCGGAGAGGACGCAATCTCCCTATATGAGACAATCTGGGAGGCCGGCCTCGTATGAAAGGAAGATGCTATGAGGTAATCGTTGTGGACCAAAAAGTCCAACAGTTTGAAATAATTGGTGGTGTACGTATCATCTGTCGGTGCGTCGCTTAGGAATACGGCTTTGCCAATATGAGCCGAAAATTCTTCCAATTCCGTCGGGATGATTCTGGCGTTAAGGTCGCCCATATAAAGGATCATAGATGGACGGGATAGGTTGTGATGTAGTTCCTGGAGATCGTCCCAAAATTTATCTTTTCGGGCCTCGTCCGCTTGTGGGTCCGATAGCTGACTTGGTGCGTACAGTGTCATTAGGTGGGTCAGGATTGGTTGCGTGCGGAGAGTCAGGACCGCTATGCGGCCCGAAAAAGGAAGGAAGTCTGACACCAGCGGTAGACGGTGAGCAGGAACGTAAAAGCCCACCCCTGCCATGTGTTCCGTGGGTGTGCCGGAAAGGAGGAGTTTCCCTCCCCCAATTTTACGTTCGTCGGAGGAGGTTGATTTCGTCTCTTGTAGAGCTAAAACATCAATCTTCCTTTGGCGCACGAAGCCCGTAAGGGCTTCTTGTTTGCCGTGTCCGATAAGAGTTTCTATATTAAAACTGCAGACATGAAGTCTGTTGCGCTCCGGGCGCCATCCTAAAAGGCGCGTGGGTAAATCTAGTAGCGAAGGCTGCACATAGGATCGAAAAAGATGAGCTCGGGATCCTGCGGTTGGCGCTGCATTCCCTCTGCCATAGGCTCTTGTGAGTTGGGCAGGGCTATTCATTACCCTTTCGGAGGGAGCCGGGGAAGGACTAGGGTAAATTTTCCATCCTCCAGCGAGTCATGCAGCCATTTTCTATATTCACGTCTAGAACTAGATCGACCAGCGTTGTACTTAGATTGTCGCGCAAGCATAGCTGTCGTGGATCTAAGGCATTGATGGGTGCGTGTTCCCTCCGACGCACAGCAAGATTCGTGACCACTAGCCTGTGATAAAGTGTGGCGGTTAGCGCCGTTATGTAGGTTAAAAAAGTTGCGAAAACGCTGTTTGGAGTGGCCGTGGTCCCCCGGCGTGCCTCTGGCGGCTCTCGCAGCACAGATGTGACTATATAAATTGCGTGCTTTATTGCCGTAATAAACGACGTAGTGGCGAGTGCCCCTTCTAAAAAACCATAAAGAAAGGTGGGCGCTGCAATAGTGGTATTTGTGAACTGCCATTCCATTCTTGAGACAAATTGGTATCGATCTAAAAGTTTCAGGGCAATACGAATACTCTCTGTCAACTAGCGAACAGTTACAAAGTCGGCACCAGTGGTTTCCCCTCAAAGCATGCAAAAAGCGGTTGCGACTTTTTCTCGACACGAACCAAAAGTCCGGTGCTGCGTCTTGACGGCCTGTGGCAAAACAAGACGAACAAAAGGAAGACCCTAACCTTTCAGAACCCTGAA